TCTAAGTCGATCTAGGTCACAAAATAAATATACTGTTAAAGGGCACCTAACCCTCCTTTTCGTAGCACTAAATAGGAACAATTAAACAAGAACAATTAACTAAAAAAACTACCTCGTAGAGCATTTAAACACATAACACATATACATAGAACACATAACCAGATCAAGCAATTATACAGAACAGTCAGTCAAGTACATACAAAGTCATCCCATGAAACAAAAGGGGTCCTCCCAAAAGTACTATAGATAGACTAGGTCACGAGCACAAAAGAACTCACGAAAAGCTTTCCCCCCCCTAGGGCTCAGTCCATAATCTACGAGAACAACACCATTTAATCTTAATCAAGGTTGATCAAGCTTAACCATACCCGAACAAACCACACGAAGTTCCATAGAATCGCATTTCTAGTTCGCCCAATCCTTTCTAACCTAGGCTCTCATTTCTTTCGTATCCGGGCGCAAGAATCCCATCTAAGATGATTCACAACTCGAGCCGGCCGGTCCCAAGCGTAAATCATCCATATTAAAGATTCCTACCCGACATACATACCTAGCTTCCTCAAGTCCCATGATAATGATCCTTACACTTATGACATGCACAGTTCATAGCTTACGCTCAAAAGAGCACTTATACCTTTTGACACATTCACGAAAGCAGGACCATAACACCACTTGGCCCAAGCTCTCTCCGCGTAGAGACCACGCGAAATGGCTCTGATACCACCTGTGACAGCCCCACTTTTTCCAAAGGCGAACCAAAGAGGTTAGCAGACTGCCTGCCCATCTCTCGCCAGGACTAACGGTGCAGGCAAACACGATCCAAGACGTTTCGGGAAAATAATACGCACTCACACAAGCCGAAATCGCAAAATAGCCAAACGCAAACTAAACCGTCGGTGAATAGTGGGTGCCATGTCATATAACTCGAAAAAACATTCCCAACTAAATAGGACACATAAACGGGGTTAAAACAGTGTTATACACATACGTTTGTAAATTTACAAAAACAAAAGGGAAATAATTGGATCAAAATACACTTAGGGTTTTGCCCAAAAGGAGCTATTTCAAAATACATTGACATAAGCTCAACTCGGCAATCAACATTCATGGCCTTTCCAAAAGCATTCAATTTCCTGTAAGGAAAACAAAAGGAATAGAGTGATCTTACGCCCAGTGATATACTACCACTTAAGCAGCAAAGTTCATATAAGCATAAAGCTTTTCATTCCAAATCATCAAAAGTAAGCCAATAGCACGCATCAATAGAGTTAATAAAAGGATACGGGCGGCTCTCAAGAGCCCCTTTCCTCGCTTGCATTCTTGACTGGATCTCATTGACCCTCCGTCAATGTTTAAGAGTAACTAACCGTAGGCTCCACTTTACTTCCATTCCTTCCACCCAACATACCCCTACCGGGCCCGAACTCCAAACAGTAGAAATTTGGTAATACTCGAGTATACCGGAATCAAGAGTCTCACTACTACAAGATTCCATATAACAGTCCCCATGGCTCGTCAACTTTCACGACCAAGCCCTCACTGGCTTGATTCAATCGACTACCAATGGGGTTGAGCTCCGTAGTAACAGTAAAAGCCGTTGGATCCTCGTCCAAACGACACCAAATCCAGTTTTCCATGTACATTTCAAGTACCACAGTGAAACAGTAGACAGTCGTATACAAAAGGGGTGAGGGCGATCAAGTACACCCTCACTTTAATCAGTTTCAACAGTGCAAATAAGCCTTCAAGGCATCAAGTTCAATATAGTAAAGCCACATTGTAAACAAACAAGTGAGTAGTACACTCACCAAGCAAGCAAGTGGAATTTCGTGAACTTCCGCCCAAAGAGCGTCTTTACTCACCGTCACGCACTAAAATATTCAAATAAGCACAATAAGACTCGATTCCAAGTCATAAACCAATTCCACATACTACCAAAATAAGGTTCCATTAGAATGTATAAGTACTAAAGTAAGCTAAGGAAATCCGGGAATGAAGTTAAGTTCTAAACCCCAAAAAAACAGTTTTTGACATCATTTAGCGGTTTTGGCACCATTGGCACTACGATTATCAGATGGAGGTTCAATATACACCGTTTCGAAGCTAACAGATAGGGATACAATGTTGAAGAAGGCCACTCAGTCCAGTTTCTAGTGAAACCAGGTAAAAAATTCAATATACTAAACCAGAACCGCAAAAATAGGTTAACAAATCGCATTCTAGTTAACGAACCGTAATTCAGGCTACCTAAGTCCAAATCAAGTGATTCCAAAGCCATCCGAAAGCTAAGACACCAGGATACATTTCTTAAGAAGATGTAAAAAACTAAATCAGAATTATTCTCAACCAAATTAACCAATTACAGAAGCAATTATGAAGTTCGGGTAGAAACAGGGTAGCAGGGGTATTTCAGTCTTTTCACAAGTTGCACTACTCCGATTGGCCTGAAATTTTGTAGGCATCTCTAAAATATCATTCCCTAAAACTTTCATGTTTTAACCCAAGGCTAATTTGGTCTCTAACTATGATGAACAGTACCGGGCAGAATGAGGGGAAATGAAACCCTAACTTCCAAAATTTCTTTCCAAAGCAGAAATTTTCTGCAATTAACCACAATTTACACCTTCTAGCTTCATTCAAGATCATTTCCAATCATCATCCATGGCCACAACATATGAATCATATTAAATCAGAAAATTCATGAATAATTATAAAACTTCACCAAATTCAACCAAAATCATGATATAATCCACAAAATCACCTCTTAGGCTACCACAAATCATTAATTAGACATCATTAGATAGAGGAGAGGGGTTCTTTCACTACTCACCTTAGTAACCAAAGGAAAAGAGCAACTTGGCACCTTAATCTTCCAATCCACTTCACTAATCACCTCACAACTACTAAGAGAAGGATTTTTATGGAGAACTTTCAAGTTTAATCGATTGAAACACAAGATTTAGGCAAGATTAGAAGCAAAAGATTGAGAGTTTTCTTCCCTTGTTTTCTTGAGAGAGAGAGTCGGCCAAAGCTTGGAAATTTTGAGTGATTTTTGGATCAATTTTTGATTTATTTGGTAAAGTAATGAATAGTGGTCAAAAGTAAGAACAATTCTCCAAGTGACACTTGTCACTATAATTAATACATGGTTATCCTTTTGTCTCTTCACTCTCATCCATATAACAACCTCTAATTATCTCTTAGCACCTAGTAAATTAATCCCAGTATCCCAAACTTAACCTAATTGGCCGAATTTTTCCGAACTTTCCGCACTAGCGGGTCCCACGTCCAGTATACGCTCTTAATTTCTCAAAATCTAACCGATACTAGAAAAATCATCTAAAAACTATATTTACTCATAAAAATTATTTAGAAAATTTTTTAATAAAGAAAATGCATAAAAGGCGTGCAAATAATTAAAATAAGGCCTAGAAATAAGGAAATTTACGGGTTCTCACACTAAGACTTTGGAGGATCATGAGAAACATTTGAGAATTATTTTGCAAGCCTTGAGGGAACATCAGTTGTATGCTAAGTTTAGCAAATGTGAATTTTAGTTGAAAGAAGTGACTTTCTTAGGTCACATCATTTCCAAGGAAGGAATTAAGGTGGACTCGACCAAAGTTGAAGCAGTTTCTAAGTAAAAGCAACCGGAAAACCCTATTGAAGTTCGAAGTTTCTTAGGTTTAGCTGGGTATTATCGGAGGTTTATCAAAGATTTCTCTAAGATTGTGGGACCCATGACTGAGTTGACTAAGAAAAGTGGAAAATTTATATGGAGCCCTAAGTGTAAAGAAAGTTTTCAGGAGTTAAAGAGACATTTGACTAGGGCACCTGTTTTAGTTTTACCTAATAGAAAGGATAGCTTTGTGGTCTATACAGATACTTCAAACGAAGGTTTGGGGTGTGTATTGATGCAGAATGATAAGGTGATCGCATATGCCTCTAGGAAGTTAAAACCTCACGAGAGAAACTATCCAACGCACGATTTGGAGTTAGCGGCCGTAGTGTTTGCATTGAAGAAGTGGAGACATTACCTATATGGAGTAACGTTTGAGGTTTTTACCGACCACAAGAGCCTTAAGTACTTGTTTTTCTAAAAAGAGTTGAATTTGAGACAACGTAGATGGGTGAAATTTTAGAGAATTATGATTACACGATCAATTATCACCCAGGAAAAGTTAATGTGGTGGCCGATACTTTAAATCGTCAAATGCAAGTGGCAAGATCGATGATTAAAGAATTACACTTGTTGGAAGAGGTTAGTATTTGGAACTCTCGTCTCGAATCGAGAAAAATGATTCTTGAGAACATTGTCGTGAAATCCGTTTTGCTAGATCGTATCAAAGAGGCACAAGAGAAGGATTCTGAAGTACAAAAGTGGTTGGTGAAAGTTAAGAAGGGAGAAAAGTCAGATTTTAATTTGGAAATAAATGGTGTACTAAGATTTCGAAAACGCATAGTGGTGCCAAAAGATGAAAGGCTAAAAAGGAAAATTTTAGAAGAAACTTGCCGATTTAAGTATACGGTACATTCTGGAGAGAATAAAATGTACCAAGACTTGAAGAGCTTATACTGGTGGGAGAACATGAAGAAGGAAATTGCTCGGTTTATCTAGACTTGTTTGATTTGCCAGCAGGTTAAAGTCGAGCATCAGAAACCATCTGACCTATTGCAACCTTTAGTGATACCCAAGTGGAAATGGGTAAATATCACCATGAATTTTTTATCTGGATTGCCAAAGACACAAAGAGGTTACGACACCGTTTGGATACTAGTGGATAGATTGACCAAATCTGCTCATTTTCTGCTGATTAGTATGAAGTACTCCCTGGAGAAGTTAGCTAAGTTATATTTGAATGAGATTTTAAGGCTACATGGAATACCAGTGAGTATTGTATCTGATCGAAACCCTCGGTTTATTTCTCGGTTCTGGTAGAAGATGCAAGAAATGCTAGGGACTAAATTGAGTTTTAACACTACTTACTACCCACAGACTGATGGACAGTCAGAAAGGACAAATTCAGACTCTTGATGACATGTTGAGATCCTGTATTTTGGATTTTGGTGAGAGTTGGAGTAAGTACTTAACATTGGTAGAATTTGCTTACAATAATAGCTTCCATTCATCCATTCAAATGGCTCCGTATGAAGCTCTTTATGGCCGGAAGTGTAGATCTCCGATTTGTTGGGATGAAATAGATGAAAGAAAGATCTTAGACCCAACTACAGTACCATGGATTGAGGAGGCGCGAGAAAAGGTAAAGTTAATACGCCAAAGGATTCAGACAGCTCAGAACCGTCAAAAGAGCTATGCAGATAATCGAAGGAAGGATTTAGAGTTTGCAGTTGGAGATCAAGTTTTCCTTAAGATCACTCCTCTAAAAGTGAGTTTGATGGTAGGAAAAGGAAAGAAATTGCAACCTAGATTTGTAGGACCTTATAAGATTATTCAACGTGTGGGAAACGTGGCTTATAAGTTGGAAATGCCACCAAGTTTGTCTCAAATTCATAATATTTTTCATGTGTCTATGCTCAAGAAGTATCATCCAGATCCCTCCTATGTACTGCAACCAGAAAATATTGAGATTGACGAGACATTGACTTATGACGATAAACCAGTGAAGCTTCTGGATCGTAAAGTGAAGGAACTAAGGAATAAGCGAATCCCTCTAGTAAAAGTTCTATGGAGGAACCATGGAGTAGAAGAAGCAACTTGGGAAGTAGAAGAGCAGATTCGAAAGAAATATCCAGACCTATTTCCAGATCAAGGTATGAATTTCGTGGACGAAATTCTTTTAAGGGGAAGAGGATATGAGGACTCATGTCTTTATTCCTAATTTAGTCATTTTTATAATTATTTGCCCTAGTGTTATTTAATTATTCTAGTATTGCATGAATTCCCCTTAAATTTCGCTTTATTGCATTCGCATCGAAAATTCTCGTAAGTCGCGCCAGTATAACCAAGTGGAAACTTGAGAAATTAATACTAGACTCGTAAGTGCAAGTAATTACAGTGTTAGAGGAATTACCTTGGAGGATTAGTGTATAAGTGTACCAAACAAGAGAGAAAGTGGCAGTACGAAACCCTATTTGAGACACTATTAAGGATTGACTTTCTTCCAAAACTTAATGACTACTTTTCTTCAATCTTCCCAAACAAGATTCATCACTCAAACTCCCTCATCTCTCTCTCCTCTCTTGGCTGAACTCAAGCAAGGGAAAGGGGAAAGGAAACTCCATTTATTTTAGCTCCAAGTTTGCTTGCTTTCTTCATCTAGCTTCCTAATCTCTTGGAATTTCACTATAGCAAGAAGAAAGGTGACGGATTGTGGAGTTTCTTGGTGAAATTTTGGGTAGAAACACTTACTTACAACTAGGGTTCTAAGCTTGGAGAGGTAACCTCTCCTCTAATTTTTCAAATTATAAGAAGATTAGTGGTTAGCTTTCATGGGTTTGAAACCCTAATGAAGTTTATAGGCTAGCGCACTTGAGGAAACATTTATCTTGTTTTAAATCCTAAGCTAGATGTCTTGAGGAGGCCTTTAGGTAGTTGACTTGAGGCTATATTGCTTGATTATGGTTGTTTATGTGATTTATAGCTTGATTATGGTTTGGTAGTGGGGAGGAAGTGGAAGAAACCGTGAGGAAGCGATCTAGCTGAAATTCTATTTTGATGTCCTGCTTTAAATTCAAAATTTTGATGATTATATAGTTGCTAAATTGATTGATATATGTTGTATTATGTGTGTATAATGTGCCTTTCGAAAATTATTTCAAATGGCTACCTAAAACTTGAGTTTTGGAAAAGTTCAAATTTTGGAAATTCGCTAGCAGGGTAGCCAACCAGTGGTACTTTGTCTGAACATAACTCTTTGTACAAAAGTCAAAATTGAGTGCCATTTGCAGCATTCAATCGCCTGCTAGTTTACTTTGAGTAAACCGTAGCGAGTTGGCAAAGTGGACTGTCCTGCTTTGTTTGTTTGTCCGAATGAAACTGGGAAGCTGCATCTTGTGGATCAATTTTGTCCCACTTGTGAAAATATTTTCGGAACAATGTCTTCTAATGGAATACAGAATTTTGAACCTACTTTTTAATGCCATAAACCATTCTCAATTTGGACTTGTGTAGTGTCAGATATGGTTTGATTTCGAAACTGTGTTGAGGCTTGGTGACTGGAAATTTTCTGAACAGGTTGCCAAATTCAGCCAACTTCAAACTATTATATCTTGTTGCTCAAAACTCCAAATTTAGTTCTGCTTGTCGTGTTTAAAACTTAATTTGGAACTCTTGTTGTGTTATAAATTTCAGAGACTGATTCACTTCCTGTGAATTTTTCCGAATTTCCAAACATTGTTGAAAACCAAGACTAGTTCTGTCCTGTCTTCTTGGAATTGTAACTTTGAGCTGAATTATGATGCTTTCTAGTTGGAATCTGGAAAAAGTTCTTTTGGGAACTTTTAGCGCTCCGAATCTAATTTCCAACGGTATAAATTTTTCCATTTTGGACGTACCAAACTCAAGATCTGATTTTCCAAGTTTTGTTGCGCCAAGCTGAAAATTCTTGATTTCTTAGAAAACGAGCTTTTGAGAACTTTTCACCTTCTTTCGATATTGATTGACCGCTTTAAACTTGACTTCATGGGTCATACAAGTTTTCCCTTGTGACTTTAAATTCTCACTTTTGAACGTCGATTTTCGATAGATTAAAGTTCTCTTTTTTGACAATGTCTTAGTTTTAAGCAAGTATACTTTCTTCCTTGATTGATAAGTGGTTGTGAGTGATAGTTGATCGTTATTTCTTCAGGCACTCAAGAGGATCTTGAAGAGAATCTCGGAGCGGACAACTAAAGACTTTATTTGCTCACTTACTCACTTGTTTTGACTTAGTGAGTGTCAAGTGCATGAATCGTTGCTAGTTACTTCAATTGTTTCTTGTTAATTAAGTGATTTAGAATTGTCAAGACGAGTGTGTACTTTATCGTACTCGTTCTCTTTTAAGTGAATTTATAATTGTATTGTGTGAAGTGAAGTGATAATTGAATTGAGTGAATTGTTGCAATCGTAATCGTACATCAGGGGATGCCCAAATCTCATTGGCCAACCTTGCGACTCGAGCCGGCATGGGCTTGGTCGGGAAGCCTGGTAGACCATGAGAAAACAAAAGCTTGATCTTTTGAGAGATCTTACTTGGCATACTCAAGTAGTATCGCCCACCCAGTAAGTGTTTGGTTACGGATCCGAGAGGCTAAAATGATGGATGGGGAACTAAAGTGGAGCTTCTACGGACTTGATGCCTACCCGGTTGACGAAGTGTCATCACGTGGAGGTATTGGATCGAATCTTGGCAAAACAAGTAGAAATTAGCTCCTGAGAGCTTCTGTATCCTTATTAAGTGTGTTTTATTGTTATCTATGAATTACCTGAATTTTCTGGTTTTATTTCTTGTACAAGTGTTATTGTTACTTGAACTATGTGTTTGCATGTGTTTCTTGGCCTTGCTGAGCGTTAGCTCACCCCATTCGTTTGTTTTCCTTAATAGGAGCTCGGTTTGGAAAGAATTTTGGGAAAGCCGACTTGATTACTTTTGATCAAAAATCTTAGGATGTAATTGACTAGTCGACTTATAGTGGTTGTATTTTGGGAAAGTTGATGTACTTTTGAGAATTTGTGATGTAAGATTTGAAAGTTTATTTAAGGAAGTGACCTTTCTCTACTTTTACTTTTATTGTCGGTTGTTTATCTTTAAGTTTGGATTTGACTTGTATCGAGTCATGGCGAGAGTTAGGCAGACGTCCCGCCGATACCCTTTGGTTCGCCTTTGGGAGAAGTGGGGGCGTCATAGTTGTCACCATAGGTTTAATTGTGAGCATTTCTTTTGGGACCGGTAAAGCCAAAAGAGTGTGGTCAGTAATGTCTTCTTGCTCAAAAAATTCAGATTCTAAATCAGAGAATTGAATTTGAAATTCATTCTGAATTTTGGAGATTAATTTAACTTCCTTTCGATTTTAAGGACAATTGGTTGCAAAATGTCCTGGCTTTCAACAAATGAAAAATTTATTTCCTTTCTTTCCTTTGAATTTTTTCTCCTTTCTCTTGAAGTACTTCCATCTTTTCCTGAAAGATCTTCTTGGATAGCTCTTTTTAAAGCTTCTGAATTTTTTGAATTTCTTCTTTCTCTTGTGAGAACTGCATGCTTGACATTTCCCTTTTGTTATAAGTTCTGGCTTTTTACAAGCTTGATCCAAGCAAACATCTCCCTTAAGATATTCTCGAATAACCTTCCATTTATTACACAAATCATCTAGTGAGAGGAAAACTGCTTGTTTAATTTGACCTGTAGAAAGACTTAGAATGGAACCATATTTATTATGAATATACAATTCAACACCATCAGCGAGAGACTTAGGAAGAAAACTTACAAAAGCTTACTTCAAATTAATATCAGCACCAAGAGCAAATAACAATTGGATCATTTTCTTGAAATGTTTATTAAGATCTTTGTGATCATATGAGAAAACATTTCATTTGAAAAAATTCCTTTCTTTTTGTTTCTTTGCTTTCTTTAATGTCACCAATGAACATTAGATGTAGGATATTAATATTTTCAGAAAAATCTTCGCGGGTTAAGAAAAACATCTTTTCTTGTTCTCCTAGGTTTGCCCACCAATCTTTTAGGATTCCTAGAAATCGAGCAGTAAAGTCAGATAAGATTTTAAAATGATATTCTTTGGTAAGATTTTGAATAATCATCCAAGCATGAAAATCTTGAAATCTTGCTTCCCATTTTGATGAAGGTATATCATCTATAGTGAAGATTTGTGCTCCTTTGATCTTGGAATATGTCCTTTGAGAAGTATTAGAGGTTTCACCAATTTCTTCCTCTTCATCTTCTGGATGGACAACTTCAGCTTTTGTTGCTATATTCATAATAGGGAGTGCTAGAGTCTTTTCTTCTTCATCAAAACTTTCAGTTTCACCAGATTCTTCAATTTCAGATTCTATATTTGTGGATTAAGAACTTTGATTATCTTCTGATTCAAATTCTTGTTCTGATTTTGAAATTTGAGAATCTTATCCCTTTTCATCATATGTAGAAATATATGGCAGTGATTTTTCATGAATCTCTTGAAGCATAGAGGACAAGGGATTATTGTAAACTGTAGTTCCTTTTCCCTATTTAAAAGAGAATTCTGGGTTAGAATGTATATTTGTATACATTAAATAACTCTCTTGTTCTTGAATTATTTCTTTTTCTTTTTCCCTTTCTTTTTTTCTTTTCTCTTCGTCCTTTTGTTTCTGCTTGTTTTTACGATATTCTCGTAAAACTTTAGCAATTTCAAAAGGAGTTTTTGTTCTTCTTTGATACGAACCCGTTCGAAGGTATGAAATCGTATCCCACGAAGCCCCAGATCTAGACAAAGAATCAAGTTGGAGTTGCGAAAACTCTTGACCCTTCTAACTCGTGAAGTTGTGAACCTATTGAACTTAATCTCAACTCACAACTAAACAAGAAAGTGAACCAAGGTTGTTCGTAGAAAACACCACAACCAATTGTGGTTTATTGGTTGATAAGTCAAAGAACACTCAAGAACAAATCTCAAGTATTCAAGTGAAGATCTCTTGGAAAAGAGAGTCGCAAAACACAAGTTTTTAGCAAAAAAATTCGTTCACACTAATCTGTGAGGACCCGAATTTTTCTTACTTTAATTTTATTTTACTGGCCTATTTAATTATTTAATTATCCGTTTTCTCCGATTAATTATTTCATTCATTTTAATTTCATTTGCATAAAACAATGTCTCATTTTATGTTTTAAAACGTTTCGTTAGTGAATTTAATTTTTCTGCGGCTCGTTTAGAAAGAAATAGCGAATACACATTTTTTGAAGCAAAATTCAGTCCGCAAGTGCAATGATCTTGGAGAATTAATTTTAGACTAGTAAGAAGGAGTATTAGTGGTGCAAGAGGAACTACCTTGGAGGATTAGTATTTTAAGTGTAGCAAACAAGAAGGAAACTAGTAGTTCTTGGCACTACACGGGCTACTATTTCTAGTTGACTTTCTACCCCCCAAAAGCTACCTTTCACCTCACTTTCCCATCACATTTCAAAGTTCACTCTCTCTCCTTTTCTGTCCCTAAGTGGCCGGCCCTCTCTAGCTCAAGAAGAAGGGAGAAAAGCTCCAATTTTTCTTCACCAATCTTGCTCCAAGATCCATACAAAATCCTCCAAACCTTTAGTAGTTGATCCAACCTGAAGGAAGCTTCCATCTTGTGGTGAATTCTTGGTGGTTAGGGGTGCATAACTTGGGTCTTCCTAGGGTTCAAGAAACCTTCAAGAGGTAACAAATTTTACTCCCTTTGATCTTTAATTTTTCAAAGATTAGTAATGGTTAGTGTGTGAGGACTCGCAAATTTATCTATTTTAAACTCCTATTACTAGCTTATTTAAATATTTAATTGCCCGTTTGCTCCGAATATTTTATTTCAACCTTTTTAGACCCAATTACATGGAATTATGACCTACTTATATTTTTAAAATGACTTGTTTCAAAATTTAATTTTTGAAAGCTCGTTTAGGGTGAATAGTGGATGCACGTTTGGAGACAATAATCGATTCGAGAATACAATAAGATTGGAAAATTGGAGACCTGTACATTAGTCTTGAAATAGGTATTTTTGTGTTTAAATGTTCAATTATTAGTTAGTGATACTATCGTTATAAAAATTTCTTGAAAATTCCACTTTATCGCGTACAATTCGGAAATACGCGTTTTCGCGTGCGCGATTAATTGAGGGACTTTATACCTTTATTTTTAGACCATTAAGAGTGAATAATAATAGTATGAATGAAAGTGCATTAGAGATTTAGTGCACTAGTGAAATAAACTTGAGAGGAATCGAGCACGGAACGCACGCGCACGTGCATTATTTTAGTGGACAACTTTGAGCAATTTTGGGCCACAAGTTTTAAGCTTACTCTAGAAGCTTTAACATCAGATTTTCACCCTTCTTTTCTTCCTCAAACCAGCCGAGCAACACAAGGGAAGAAGACCAGAAAAATTTTCTTCATTTTACCTCTCAATTCCTTGTTCAAATCACTTCCAAATTTTACACACAACACTCAAATCACTTGGTGATCAAGATAAGCTAGGAAAGGAGCTGCCTCTCACGGTTTTTCTTCAGCTCAAAGTGACCGAAATTTCCGCCTTGACCATTTAAGAAAGTAAGTGATGATCAACCCCTTAATTCTTGATTTATGGAAGTTAAATTATACTCATGAGCTCTTGGATTCTCATAGGTAGCTTTAAATTGTTAGAAATTTGGTGAGTGGGCTCTATGAACTCCCACTTTGGCTTGATGGACCGATTTTGTGAGTTTTGATGTTAATAATGTTGGATTAGTGCTTAAATTAGTAGAAATGAGTGATATTATGGATGAAAACTCAAAGGAAGTGATGAGGGAATTTTTCCATTTCTGCCCCTGGTCATGCCGTGGCCTTAGAGCAATTTTTTTATGGTTCTAATGACTTGTTTATGATGTATACATGTTGTGTGGGTTGTGTATAAAGTTTCATCAAAAAATTTCATGATTTGGATGGGTAGATGTTGAGTTTTCGAAAGTCCAGTAAAACTGGAATTTTCCGGAAACTGCTCTGGCAGTGTTTTTTCAAACGGCTATAACTTTTTGCTCCGATGTCGAAATTGAGTACAGTTTACGGAAATGGAAACTAGATATTGCCAGATTTCCAATGGTATAAAATGCACATTCTGATTCCACCTGAGTAGTCCATACCAATCGTTTGAACATGACTGTCCTGTTTCGCGTCTACACTGGGAGCTCTGTTTTGAGCAGCGAATTGATGCTCAAATATGAGCTAGCTGTGGACAGATTTTGAAAGCAATTTCTTCTATGAAATTCTAAATTTATGAATCTAATTTTCAACGCCATAAACCATGTTCGATTCCAAGTTGAATTGAGTGAGTTGTGGCCGAAATCCGAAACTGACTCAATGATTTGAAACCCTCTTTTTGGCTAGTAAATGTCTAAATCTTGATTGGGACTTGTTGTTTCGAAATTCTTGGTGTTAATCACCTACCAAATGCATCTTGGATGTTTCTTAGACATTACCTACACAAAGGGACCATGTTTGAGACATTTTTGTTGGCCAAACGTTTTGAAAACGGAAAACTCATGTACAAGGCAGATTTGCCTTGGAAATTTGGAAACTTTGGTGATCTGGTTAACCAACTTTCCGTGCGTATTTTTTCATGAAAATTTACATAGGAATAGCCCTCATATGCTAGTATAATACTGTTGACTTTGGTGCCATTCCGAGTTCATTTCGATGCTCAAACAAAGTCCCAAAGTCCATGATTTAAATCTGGAAAATTGGCCTAACGGTCTCACTTTTCAGTAACTTTGAGCTGCCATATCTTGATGCTCAAAACTCCAATTCTTGTTCTGCTTGTTTTGTTTTAAACTTTGATTATAACTCAAATTGAGTTCCAAATTTTAGAGGCTTGTTCGCATTGTGTGAATTTTGCCAAATTTCCAAACTTTATTGAAAATCAACCCAAATCTGTCTTGACTTTCCAAAATAGCAACTTTGGGCCAAATTTCGAATATCTTCCAATTGGAATCATCAAAAAGTGTCTTCTAGGAACTTTTAGTAATTTGGAAGTAGTTTCTAACAGTACCAAGTTTTCCAATTTTGGACATATGAAGAGTGAGATACGATTTTTCAAAGATTGAACCTCAAATCGGAAATTTTCAAACTTGACGGGAATTGAGTTTTTGAAACTCTTCGCTATTCTTCAATACTAATTGACCATTTTGGACTTGTCTTTATAAAGGAAATCAGTTTTTCCTTGTGTTAATAAACACTACTTTTGAACCTTGAATTTTGAGCAAATAAAACCCCATTCCATGGTATTTTCTAGATTGTACAAGTGTACAATCACTCTCTTGATAAGAAAGGATTTTCAAGTGATAGTGTATAATAGATAACTATTTTTTGCTCAGGTGCTCAAGGAGACCTTCACGAGGATCTCGAGAGGAACACCTAAGGGCTTGTTTACGCACTCACTCTCTTATTTTGATTGGCGAGTGTCAAATGCATGAATTTATTGCTACGTGGTTAACTGTTTCTCATCCGTTATATGAATTTGAACTTTGAGAGACGACTGTGTACTTTACTACATTCGTCCTCTTTCAAATGAAATTATATTTGAATTTTGCTATGTGAATTCATATCCGACTTGTACTTAGTAATGTGGTTATGATTCGTATTTGTGATTCCTATCTGGAATCGTCGATTCGAGCGTTGCTCATCGACTTACATTCGTATTCGTATTCGTATTCGTATTTGTATTCGTATTCGGGGACGCCCAAACTCGTTGGTTAACTTTGCGAATCGAGCCAACATGGGCTTGGTCGATAAGCTTAGCAAACCATGAGATATTTGTAGAGCATGATCTATTTGAGAGATCTTGCTTGGCATTACTCGTGCAGTATTGCCATGATATACTCGAGTATTATCAAAACTTTGATGAGCGGGCCCAGTAAGGGGGTGTAACGGGTGACGGAATTCGAAGAAAAGTGGTGTATCTACGGATTTGATACTTATGTGGTTGACGGAGTGTCAACATGAGCTGTGATCAAGACTTTGACTCGACTACGTGGAATTTAGCTCCTGAGAGCTACAGTATCCTTGAATTGTTTCTGTTTATTTTTCCCATTCGAAGTGTGAATTATTCGAACTTGATAGCTTTACCTACAATTTAATTGTTGTTGCTACTTGGATTATGTGTTTGCATGTGTGTTTCTTGGCCCCACTGAGTATTGGCTCATTCCATTAGTTTGTTTTCCTTAACAGGAACCCGATTGGAAGGAGTTAAGGAAATGCCGACTTGAGGCACTTTTGTATTAGTGTTTTGATTGTAATCGACTAGACACTTTTGGATGTTGTATATTTTGGGGAAAGTGATTGTAAATTTGAAATGGTGATGTAAGACT